GGAACAGAGCCTCACTGTGGTTCATCTGGGGGCATGCATGGCCTCCTGGGGAGGGTCTCTGGCTTCATCTTCCAGGCTTTTGGAAGCTGGGGGGGTTGGGGTGCATTTTCCTGTTCTTCCAGTGTTAAGGAGGGGCCTGTTCCACCTCTCACTGATGGGGAGGAGGGGTAAGTGGGAAGCCTGGGGGCTTCTGTGGGGAGTGACTCCTTCATAAGGCACCCCACAACCTCTTCCTGTCTTGGAAACAGCTCAGAGGCTCCCAGAGGGAGCTTAGAGAGGATCTGACCTCTGGTTTTCATATTGCCTCGACACTATAGAATCTTCGTTGAAATGAAATCACATCTATAAGTTAACTAAACTGGAGCTCAGGACTAAAGGGCAGTGTATAGAGGGTGGGAAAGTGGGGGACAGTGGCCTAGAACAGGATGCTGCAGCCTCCCCTTAGCCAACCGCCTTTTGTGGCATGTCCTGGTGGCATGTCCTGGGACACCTAAGACACCACAGGTCACAGCTGGGTAACCACTGCCCTGGTCTGTTTTAGTGAGAGCCTGAGTACCAGAGAGGGAAACCGACTTGTCTGTGGTCACACAGCAAGTCCTTGACCAAGCTGGGAAGTGGGCGTCTGGAGCCAGGTCAGGGCTCCTGACTGCGCTGGGCTGAGGGTGGTGGGGCTTCAGGGTGGAGAGGCTGGGCCTCCTCAGGAGCCTGAGCGCCGGGTCCGGGCAGAGGCCTGCTGGGCCCTCTACAGCAGCTCCATGTCCAACCACTCTGCAGAGCTCAGGTTGGGCAGGCTTGGTCCCAGTTTAGGGCTCATTGTCCAGTGTCCATGGGGAATCCTGGCCTCAGAACAAGGCCAGTAGGTCTGCCAGATACTTGGCAGAAGCCTTGGTCGTCCACAAGTCAGGAGGGGACTCGGACTCCTGTCCCCAGTACTTCCTGGGTGTGCACCTCCAGGAAAGCTGGGGAACCTCTCTGAGACTCTAACAGGGCACTGCTGCAGACTTCTGTGGCTGGCTGGAGGTGGCAGACACCATGCCAGTCTCCTTTGCTATCTGTTCAGCAGGGCCTAGCAAGACCCCCAGCAGTGGATCACCTGGGGGAGCAGCCTGGGGTCTTTCTCGGTTATGGTTCCTCCTCACTGGGGGACCCTGGGGCTGCCCCAGGAAGGTGGCCTCAACCTATCTTGTGATGGCCCTTGGCAAGTCTGCCCTATAACACCAGGGCACGGTGCTGCTGCTCTTGGCCTTTGCCCCACGAACCTGAGACCGAGCCCGCACTGGGGGTCTTGTTCAATATATACACAGATCCCAGGGCCTCAGCCCTAGACCTTCTGATTCAGTAGGTATGGGATGGGGCCTGGGAATCTATATGCAAATACTGACCTACTTGTGGTTCTCAAACCTCCTTTCTCTCTTTTTCTTACTCGCTCGCCCTATCATGGGACCCTTCACATGTGCTCCTCCTGCATGGGAGTCCCGTGTTTGACAGAGCAGAGCTCCTGGCTGAAGGTGGCTGGAGCCTGCCTGCTAGTTCCTTCATCAGCCACGGCAACTCTTTGAGGGACCTCCGAGGAACCATGAGGGTTCCATAGGACAGTTTGCAACCCCCCTATTTATTCCAGTCTCTTCCTTTGTTGGGTTGAGAAACTGAGCCCTGAAGAGCTGGCCTGCTCAGGGCCTGAGCTCATCCTACCGATGAGGCTTCCACCCTGGAGTTCTTGGAAGCTTTCTGAGCTTTCTGCTGATTGGCTGACTCTGTGGGGGAACTCGGGGCCAGTGGTTGGTCTGAGACTATGTAGCAAAGCTACCAGGAATAGGGACTCTGGGGCCAGCCTGCTGGAGGTGAATCCCAGTTCTGCCTCTTCCTGGCTGTGTGACTTTGGACAAGAACTTCACCTCTCTGTGCCTTGGTTTGTTCTGTATAAGGGGGATGATAATAGTATTTATACTGGAGAGTTGTTAGATGGATTTTATGAGTGCATATCTGGAAAGAGCTTAGAATAGTGCTTGGCACAAAGAAAATATAAGGGAGCATGCCTCACGTCAGACCAGGCTGGCCCTGGGCTCTGACATACGTCTCCTTATAAATGTACCAGAAAGATAGAATGCTGTCGGGGCTGGTGGATTCTGGGGGGGCAAGTGCCTCAACCCCTCCCTGTTCTGAGGCAGAGAAGCCCAGCATTTGCACTCAGGACTGGTGCTCACAGACCCTCGCAGCTGGAGGGACTTTGGATCCACACAGCCCGATACCCCGATTTTAATTCCAGGGACAAGTTTTGGTAGTCACTTTCAGGCTCAAGACGTGGCAAGCTGCTTCCACTTTTCCTACCTCTCCTTGAACTTAAATCCACATGTTACAAATCATGGGGAACACAAATCACGGGGCTAGCCCTTTCCAGACTGCAAAACACATTCAGCTCTCATTTCTGAGCCTACAAGGAGGGGGAGGGCTATCATACCCATTTTACAGATGAGTACACTGAGGCTCATGGGTTAAACTTGCTTGAAATTGGATGCATGGCCAGAGCAGGGAGCGATGATCCAGGCATGGCCTGGAGTCCACTGATGGGCTGCAAGGGTCCTCTGCATGAGGCACAAAATGACTTCCCAAAGGCAAATTCTTCCTTTGAGGACTCTGAGCGCATGGCATGCAATTTTATAGATAATCTTGTGTTGGTGCAGTTAGCTGTTACTCACTAGTAACCCATTAAGGAAGCAATCAGGGATTTCCAAAATCCGAAACTCAGAAATGCAAACAAGCCAGCGCTTTCTGGGGTCTCTGATTCAGAAGTGTGGCTGCTGCACAAGCTGGCAATGTCACAAGGCTCCCCTGGGGCATGTGCTAGGTAATCGGAAGTCCTGCCACTTTCAGGAAGAGTGGGTCAAGGTTTTCAGTTGCTGCTATTCTTGCTTCTTAAAGATCATCCTCTTGGGCTCATTTTCTCATGTTTGTTGCCTTTGGTGGGCACAGCCCTACAGAGTGCAGCGCTGCTTATTTACATATTTTCTAGCAACTGCCATGTGGCTCACTATGAAATATCCATGCCCCAGTTGCAGTCACAGATTATGCCCTCGATTTGCCTGTAGAGTGACACTTCATCGGTGATATGCTGTGACTTTGATATTTAAATAACTTCTAACATACACACTTCTAAATTATTTTTAAGTGTATAGGGCATTACTTTACAATGTAAAATGATGAATTTGCCCTTTTATAAGATAAAGAATAAGGTAATATGTATTCTCTATTGATCCTTTATTAGCACCAGGTTCTTTTTCCACTGGAAAGTGGGAACAGGTGGGAGGTAGGAGACCAGGGCATCTTTTGCTGCACCTATTGGGTCCAAGGTAAAAAAGCCTAAGAGCCATTCGTTCAGAGCAGATGGGCTGGGGTGGGGAGTCTGTGAGGTCCGTTTTGTGAAAATGCATGTTTTGGGGGAGAGGGCCCATAGGCATTTTAAAAATCATATTGTCAAAGGGCTGATACCTCCCACGGTTCAGCCCCCTCCAGCTAGATTCCCCAGGAGCCCAGGTGCAGCAGTAGCCCGACACCACAGGGCACAGGTGTAGGGCAGCTTCTGGGCTCCAGACTCACCCTGTGGTGGGGGCAGGGGGAGGGGAGAGGTCACATATCTCCCCATGTGTCGGGGGTGGAGTTAACCCTCTGGATTCACAGCTCTGGTACAGCCAGGGGAGTGACCACAGAGCAAACGGAGGCAATTCTGCTGCCAATTTGGCCAGGAAGAAGTAGACCTCATTCTGCTGAACACCAGGCCCATTTCTGCTCTGCTCTGCCCACCAGTTACTCTCTGGGGGTGGGTTTTCTGGGCCTGGGGGAAAAAGGCTGACAGAAAGACTAGAAAAGCAAGGCAGTGCTAGGCTGTGCCAGGGGCTACTGGTGGGCGAGGGTTAGGGTTGGGGTTGGGGAGGTCAAACCAGGCCCTGCTGAAGTACCAGAGACACTGACAAGGGGCAGGCACGTCTGCTGGGTCCCTGCCCCTCACTGCCCAGATGGTGGCGTGCTGAAGGGCACCAGCTCTGCAGCCAGACTCCCTAGGTTTGAAGCCCAGTTCTACTGTTTACTGGCTCCGTGACCCTGGAAGATTTACTTAACCTCAGTTTTCTCATCGATAACATAGGCTGTTGGGAAGATTAACTGAGTTAATACGGGTAAAATGCACAGCATGGACCCTGGCCTATGGTAAGTGCTTAATGAATGTTAGATATTATTATTGGTGTTACTATTATTGGTTACACCTGCTGGAGCCTGCCAGACGGATGGGAGAGCGCACCGAAGGGCCATCAATCTTATTGCTGGGGAGAACTATTATTCTTTTTTAGTTGGGAGATGGAGATTGAGGGCACTGGCTACAGTCAAGGTTTGGGTTACCTGGGTGACCTCTTCCTGGGACACAGTGGAGTCTCACTGGGGGGAGGCCTGGATTTTGCATCTGGGGGATCTCACAGGACTTGGAAAAGCCTGGCCCACTCTGGCTTCAATCAAGGCAGGCCTGTGGCTCCCTCGATGTTTCTTTAAGCTCCTTTTAGTCCCCAGGGACGGTGGGTACTTGGGACCATGCAGAGACCCACTGGGGTCTGGGGGAAGTAACATGCCCCAAAGGCACAGGCTCCACCTCTGGGCTTTGGAAGGAGCGCAGGGGGGAGAAGGAAGGAGACGAAAGCTGACAAGGGCCGCTGAGCTCGAGAAAGCAGGGTGCCAGGCGTGGGGGTGCTGGTTAGGACCACGTGGCAGCCCTGGACGTTGACAGCTCCTCCAAATTACAGTCAGGGCGGCAGAGACGAGATGTTTCTGGGAGACCACCCCGGCTCGGCCCCTCCATGGGCCCAGAATCCAGCCAGCTTTCCTCAGCCCCTCCCGTCACCCCCTGGGGACCCAGCCCTGGAAGTCCAAGGAGTAGGTCACACCGGGCTGTGCCTCCCAGCAGGGCACAGCCTCCCACCCGGAGCCAAATGGAAACAATCAAATGACATAGAATTCAATAATATTTTAAAATAAGCTTTATTTAGATTTTTTTTTTAATATTTTATATTTGCATCCATGCCTTCGAAAAACTTTTCCCATGGGAAAGGTTATTTTCATCTAATGTTACCCATAACTCATTCGCTATTTGACGTAGTTCTCTTAAATAAATCATCCTTAGTAACTCTTAGAATTATCTCCTAATTTACAAAAACTGAAATGAAAAGGAACTACTGAATCATTACCAGGAGTGGTTGCAATCTTATTTTCTTATAAGTAAAGGGAAAACAATAAAAATCAACCAAAAAAAATTTATGGGGAAGAAAAAAAAGCATCTTCTAAAACATCTCTCTGCAGAGCAAGATGCCAGCTCTGGTCGCTCTCTCCCCACCAGGCTGGGTTACAGAGCCTAGTCAAAGGAGGTCAGAAAGGTCCAAAGGAGGTACCTGTCTGTTCTTTCCCAACCCCTGGACCAGGTCCAAAGGAAAGGGAGCAGCTGACTGGGCTTGTTGCTTGTTTTAGAGACTTTGGACAAAATATCCTACCCTTCTGATAGAGATGCTCAAGCATTTGAAAATCTCCTTGCTTCTTTTTAAAAGCTGAAAATGTTATCGTTAGCAGAAAGCGCAACTACTGTCGTCTAGAGGTGTGGATTGAGCTGTTAGTCACTAAGGATGAGCAGAGGGGGGATTCACAGGGCAAAAGAAAAGGGAAATTGAGTTTTAGGCCTTGGGCGGACCTGCCTGAGAAGCTCATGTTTTTTCCATCGCCTGGTGTTAAAACGCACATGGTTCCTTTGCTGGTGAAGCTTTGCTGGGGCCAACATAGCTCCCCAAATAGGCAGATGCTCCTGCTAGCCCTCCTGTCCTGGGGCTCAAGCTGCTGTGACAGGTTGGAGGACAGGGCCCCAGGAGTCCCCCGAGATTCTAAGTGTGTCCAAAGGAACCAACCAACCAGAAGGGAGAGGGCGGACGGCTCAGGTGCTGCACACCGTATCCCCAACAGCACTCCCCTTGAGGCAGGCACCTCCCCAATGACACCTGCCTGCCCCACGTGCAGAATAAAGCAAGGATGGGAAAGACACACCTGCAAGAGGAACGGATGCTGAGAGGCCCCTCCTGGAACTGACTAAGGCCCAGGGTCCCTTTGGTTATAACCTGTGGATGTGGGGTGGGCTGGCTTGCCCTGGACTCAATCTCTCTCAAAAGACACACCCAAAGAAGGGGACCGTGACAGCCAGCACTCTGCTCACTGAGGTCGTGCTCTGTATGTCAGATAAATAAATATATATAGAAAGGCCCGGAGAGAGCTATGGGTGGGAGGAAGGTGGAGGGTACCACATGCAGGGGCAGAAGAATGGGAGACAGAGAGAGAGAAGAGAGAACGGAAAAAGCAAGCTTTGACATCCAGTGGTCCCTGGGTTCCATTCTAAACTCTACCTTGCGCAGTTTGGCAGCAGCATAGTAAGAGAACAGAGAAGTCGACAGAAACACCCGCCTCCCGCCCACCCCATGGAAAAATATACATTCCAATATTTACGTAATAATTTAGATAGTATAAGTTTTCTGCATTTGTGCAAATAAATTAAACGAAACAATTGTCTTTTTTTTTTCTTTTTCCATAAAGAAAGAGACGGCAACGCAATTTAAAAACTGACAGGCCATTAAAAAGAGCCCATTTGACCATTTGACCTCTTACAAACCCAGCCAAGACAGGGCCCCTGGCCGGGCTCGCGAGTCTTGGCGGAGATTGGACCTTACCCTGACGACGATGGCATTTGGTGGTTAAAGTGACTTGGGTGTGCTCCGAGAACAGGGTCTGGTCCCACACGCTCACACTGGGGGGTGAGAAGGAGGGGACATCCCAAACAGACCACATCCTTGGTGAGATGGGCTCCGGGAGAAGCGGTTTGGACAGGGACATTTACAAGCACGGAGCGCACAATAGTTTTGTTATTTACAAATACACAGCAGTCCTTCAAGTTTTCAAGTTTCATAAAAAGGAGGAGGGGAGGAGATGGGGGTGGGAGCCAACGAACCAAACAAAAAGGAAAAAAGAAACCAAACATTGAAAAAAAAAAAAAAAAAAACCAGATAAACAACGGTGTCGCTCCAAAGACAACAGAGAGGGGACGTAGTCACACACGGTTTGTAGTATGTACATCAATTACAGAGGTGGCGACGCAGAGGGGAGAGGTTCACACTGTGTCCAGAGGCGCTCGGCCACACCCAGCACCCGCGTGCATGGGAGCACACGTGCACACACACCCCAGGCCCGGCCACACGCGCACCCCATGCACACTCGCTCGCTCGCACGGCCACACGCACAGACACGCCTGCCGGGCAGCAGGCGAGGGGCGGCGGGTATCACCAGTCCGCGTCCTCCTCTATGTAATAATCGGGGGCGGTACCATCAAAGAGGCCGGGGTCGAGGGATTTCCGCTGCTTCCCCCTGGCGAAGACGCGTGAGATGGAGCCGAATCCCATCTTCTCTTTCTTTTTTTTCCGTTTTTGGTCTTCAAGATCCTCTAGTGACTGAGGAGTCAGGAGCCAAGCGGGCAGAGGGAGAGGGGAGAAGAAAGCCAGGCTGAGCTGGGTGCAGGAGACAGGGGCCGGGGGTGGAGGGGCAGGGAAGCCTCTCTGAACTTCAGGCCAGTGGGTCAGGGACAGGGGCCACGGGCGGTTAAGAAGTGGCTTCTGAGCCGCAATGATCTGCCCTCCCTTGCTGAGCAAACTCAGGTCACGTATGGAACCTCTCAGGGACAACAACATGATCCACCCGAGACTGTCATGAGGGTGTCACTAAAGCGAGGATAAAGATGCTCAGAACAGTGCCTGCCGCATAACAGGCATTTGGTAAATGTGAGCTGCTGTTGTCGTCTAAATCTAATTTGCCCACAACCTTCGGGTGCTGTCAAGGGCTTGCAGGAGCATGCCCACTGTCTGTGGTCATGTCAGGATGCAAGAAGACCACAGGCCTCGGGAAGGAAGGGCAGCGACAGCTTGGTGTGCAGAGCCAGCGCACTGAGCACACTGGGAGATGGGAAAGGGGCTTGTGAGTCTGGAAAACGAGGAGGGAGAACCTGAGCTTGCGTCAGCCCACAGCAAGGGCCCTGCACCTTAAAGCCAGACAGAAAGCAGAGCCGGCCACTGTGGAGTGGGGGCTGGGGCCTGGGTTCTGGTCCTGAGTATGTCACTACCTGTGGAACCCCAGAGAGCCCCCCAGGTTCTCTGAGCTCAGTTTTCTTGCTTGTGATGTGGTGATAACAGTAATGATAATGGTGATGGTGGTGGCGAGATCTGTTCTGCCTTCCCATTGGGGGGATCATTGAGATTGGCAGGTGGTGTCTGCAAGAGAGTTTTGGAAATGGCCAAGTGCTTTCTACAAAGACATGTGGTGGCATTAGCCCTAAAAAGGGTGGTGCTTACACTAGACTCATGGTTCCCAAAACACTTCAGAACTCCTTGAATTCCAGGCCTACCCTGCACCTGATGGATTAGGATCTCCAAGGTGAAGGGCCCAGGCATGTGCATTTGAACAATCTTCCCCGGTGGCCCCAATGCAGATGAGTGGTGTACAGACCAGCATGTGGGGACCCCAGGACTGTGGCCATGATCTCAGAAACCCCTGCTGACCTGCAAGTTCAAGTCATTTGTCCTCCCTGCAGCCTCTCCTCTCTCTGGTGACAGATATTGAAAATGTCAGAAATGGATTAAGATGTTTCTAGCAGCAAGGGGCCCAAAGAGGCCATTGCTTGGGTTATTAGCCTTTAAATAGTAATGACAATTAAAAGTAACTGGCTACCAGAGGAAGACACTGGCCAGGGCAGCAGGACAGAGGACATCTGTGCACTTAGTAACTCTGCGGGTCCCACAGCAGACAGGGAAGGGGTGGTCCCAGGTGCTGAGCCTGGCTTAGGCACCAATCCACATGTGACTCAGGGAGTGGCTGAACTCCTGTCTAACTTGGGCACCCACGTATGGAAGTGGGGATGACCCAGGGCCCAGGAGAACAGGGGATGAAGTCATGGTCAAGTTGGGGGTAGGGAGAGCCTTTGTGGCCAGGGAAGGCACACCTACCTGTACAATAGGGTTGTGCAGGTTCTTCTGGACCGGGCCGGGACTGTCGCCCTGTAGCCAAAGGAGAAGAGGAAGATGAAATGACAGACTCACGACACACGAGAACAGAGGAGGCTCGTGGGGTCTTCCATGCAAGGAAGCCATCCCTTAGGGGCCGCTCTGCCTCTGTAGTGGGGAACCCGCCCCCCACCTCCCGAAGCAGACGCTCCCAGATGGCTTATTAATAAGGCCTCGGGTTCATCGAGATGCTGCATGAAGCAGGGGTCCCAGCCATAGGCCACGGGGTGCACTCCTGCCTGCTTGGGCCTCTCCACCCCAACATTCTCTGACCAACAAGTCAGTTGCTCACAGGCTTATTCCTGGCCCAATCGGTCCACTGAGTTAGAACTGGAGGTTGGTTGTAGTTGGTGCTTTTCATAAAGGAATATACTTTTATAGAAAAAGCATAATAATAAATTAAGTAATTTCAGGTTAGAAACAGACTCAGGAGACTATGTAGGCTCTAGCTTCCCCCACAGCCAACACAATGAATCTCTTATTTTGTGGAGAAGCAAGCAGGACTTGTTAGCTCAATGTACAGATACAAAGAAAGGCTCCAGACAGTCCCACATCATGGAGCTCATGTAAGGCAGAGTGACAACTCAAATTCCAGACTGTCTGATTCCTCCTGGTGCAGTGCTCCTTCCAGACAGGGGCTCCAGGCAACTGTACACAGTCCTGAGCTCTGGGCTGCACCAGGAGCCCTACGTGCAGGACCTGAGCTCCTTCCTTCTTTCCTTGGGAGTCTCAGACAGGCTGGGATAGGTAGGATACTTCCATTGTGTTGCCAGCCCTGACCCAGGTGGGTGGGGAATGGACCCTTAAAAGCCTGTGGGTGTGCAAAAGCCTTCACTACATCTCAGAATCAGCCAACCCCACCTGGAGGCAAACAGATCCTTTGGATCACAAAAGTCATTACTAGGGAGACTCCTGGTGGTTGTTACTGGAATTGCAGGAATAATGCCTATGAAGAAACAAGTTATGTGTCACTTGGGCCAATGTCCATCAAACTTCTTCAACCTCTCTGCTGAGTCCCCACCTCTGCTGTAAATTAGTGACCACAGTGTGAGAGGATGAGGTGGTCCTTAGTCCAGGCTGTGTTGTTCTTGCTGGTGCCAGGTCGAATGCCTGAAAACAGTCAAATGCCTGGAGGTATTTTGGGGGTCTTCCTGGTTTACCTGTGTGCACATTCATTGAGATGGCAGATAAAAGAAAGTTGAGGGAGGGAGGAAATGTAACAGATGATAGTGTAGTCTTTAGTCCCATCTCAGTGTCTGCAAACAGAACCCATACTGCAGGCATTGAAGATAGTTCTGTTCTGGGTTGGACCACATCTGCCAAATTACGGGTAAGAAAATGGGGCTAGTGCCCACTAAAATGCCTGTAAGCAGACAAGTGGCTTATCAAAGCAACCACTTCCTGGCAGCAGGGCTTTGTGTAAGGTGAGCTTGAAAATAAATGTGCTGGAACTGTGGCCTGTAGCAGCCGGTATGTGCCAAGGCTAAGCTGGGCAAAAGGCTAAGCCTGTGTCAAATTCAATTCAAGAGGCTTTCAGGGAACCCCTTCTGCAGAATGGATTTTCCAGCAGCATTTCTGCCATCCAGTCCACCATGAGAAGATAAAACATGGCCCTTGGGAAGGTCTTCTCATCTGGGATGTGCATGGACACTACAGGAGGTCTGGCTGAGGCCGGGCCTCTCTACCTGCACTGTGACAATATGAGGGACACTGCTAGCTTTAGGTAGAACTCCACGATGGTCCTTCAGAGGCCCCTCTAGTGGCCCACCTTCCTCGCCTTGGTTCTTCAATCAAGATAGCCTTTGTCACTAGGATTCTCTCCTGGGGACAAGAGAAGAACACACTCCTTCCTTAAAGCCTCAGCTTTAGAAAAAAAGAATAAAAAAAAGAATCCCAGCTCAGAGTGGGGTCCAGGCTGCAAACGACCTTCTCCCCATCCTGATGTGGGCTGTGTAAGGCCCCTGGGCCAGCAATCCCACCACCCACATCACCAGGCGGAGGTAGCTTCTTTTGAGTTTGGTCTTAGCTATTTTTATAAGTGCTTTTCACTGTTATTGTGGATTGGGAAAAAAAAAATGGTCCCGTTATTATTACTCATATATAGGAAACATTGATTTTTATAAATTGAACTTCAGCTAGTACCGTTATGTACTTGCTTATTATTAGTTCTAATAGCTTTTCAAGCTATTCTCTTGAGTTTTCCAGGTAGACAATCATATCATCAGCAAGTAATGGTTTTGTCTGTTTCCCAGTATGTTCACCTCATTTCTTTTTTATTATCTATTTCTCTGGTTAATAAAGCAACATTAACAGAGTTTTTGAAAAAGCCTTCCCATGCACTTGAAGACTTAACCGTATAGTGTCTCTGGCTTCAGGACATGGCAGGGGAGCCCTCTCTATTGTCAACTGTGTGATGAAACATTCGAAGTGGTCCCCACACCCTGACCTCACCTTAGCCTCCCGGTGGCTTCTGGCCGTCCTCCAATGCTGGACCCACCTCCGCTTACTCTCTCTACCGCTCGGGAGCCCATCTGCCTGCCCCACTGGTCAGCAAGAGTTAGGTCACTAGGGACTTGTGCCTCTTGGTAGGTGGTATCCAGTGTGCGATCAAAAAGTGTTAGATTAAATAAGCAACGTAAACAAATTTGGAACAAATCCACAGGATGCCTCTCCAAAGGCAACACATCCCCAAACTACTAGAAACAAACAAAAGAACCACCTGGCTCCCCTCCTGGCTCTAGAGGGAAAAGAGGTGGTGCTGGTAAGGCCCTGAGCTCTGGAGGGTAAACATCTGGGAGGAGAAGCCCACGACCCCAGACAGTTCCCAGCGGGGCGGACTCCCAGGCTGCACAGACCCTGCGGCCGACCCAGGCCTGCCTTCCTCTGGATTCTCCTCGCCCTCCCGGACACAAGGAACAAACGGGCCTCATTTCCTTCTCTCCCCACATCCATCGCTTCTTGCAAAAGGAAAGAACAGACCAGGAAATGCATTCGCCAGAGTGCTCCCTGGGTGGACGAGAGGAAACAACGAGTATGTCTTCGCCCCACCACCCCTGCCCCAGCGGTTTCCAAGCAGGGCCCAGGCATCCAGGCCCTGCTGCTCCTGGCCTTACGTTGCAGAGGGAATGCGTCCGGTGTCGAGGGGAGTTGATGTCGCTCGGCGTGGATGACCGGTCCCCTTCTGCGGCAGATGCGTCGGAGATGACGGAGGGCTGCCGGGAGTGGCAGGGGCTCACCCTGACCGCTGGAAAGCAGGGACAGCTGGTGAGTGAGGGGTAGAGAGAATGCCCTCGCCTGGACTGTCATGCACATGATTCCACCCCACGCCCCCATTCTACAGATGGGAAAGCTGAGGCATAGAGAAGGGAAGGCTTGCCCGGCTCTCCGCCCTGCTATTCCACAGCCTCTGGATCCAATTCAGTCCCCACCTCACCAGGGTGAAGGAGAAGATGTGGGGGGAATTCCAAGGACCTCCGTGACTCTGCTCACATGCTCCTCCCACCTGACCCTGCACCTGGAGCTGTCCTAATCATCGCTCAACGTCAGTTTCCCAAACAAGAAATGACAGGCACCTTGTCATTCTGGGGGTAAAACACTCTTCCTGGCTCCAAGGCCTCACGTGCTGTAGCTCTGCCCATATCAGCAGCCTTGGCTCAGTGTTGGCCCCTTGTCACCATCACTGGGCTCATCACACTGGCCACCTGGCCGTGCCTGGCACATGCCATCTCCCTCCTGCCTCAGCCTGTGCTGTTCCCGCTGCCTGTGTGCTCGTCAGGCGCGTCCTCACCATGCAGGTCTCAGACTGTCCCAAGAGAGGCCTTCCCCAATGAGTGGCTCTCCCTACTCTGTCCTGTCTTTTTTTTCCCATCAAAGTGCCTGTTTTCTGTTGATTTCTCTCCCTGTGCCAAAGACAATCTAATCATTCTACTTGTTAGTTTATTTACGTGTGTATTGTCTGTCTGCACACTGACAACATCAGCTCCATGGAGGCAGGCACCCTGGGGGTCTTATCCCTGTTGAATCCCAGAGCTCACAGTGCCTGGCACATAGCAGGTGCTCAATAGACAGTGAATGAATGAATGAATGAATGAAAGACCCAGCTCAGAAACCCTTCCAAGTCCCCCCGCAGATTGCTTTCCTACCTGTAGGCACTGGAGCAGGAGGGAGAAAGCATTTTCTGTTCGACAAGACTGACCGAGTGCCCACTGTGTGCAGGCAGCACGTGAGCGAGCGTCCTTGCCACCCATGACCACATGGCCTCATAAGGGAGACAGTGGCTGAAGGCACACTGGCTTTTGAGTCAGTTCCAATCTAGGTGAATGACCCTATAGGCTGTGTGACCTTGGGCACATTCCCCAACCTCTCAGACCCAGTTTTGTTATCTGTAACATGGAATGACAGGGGTGCCAATCCCACAGAGTAGCTATGTGTATGATGTACCTGCTACGGTGCCGGGCACTGGACAGATGGAGGGAGTTACGTGATAAATGCACCGACAGCGATTGTAAGGCAGGGTAGTAGTAAGTGCTCTGATGCAAGAAAGTGCCAGTGTTATGGGAGCATAGAGGACACAGGGAGAGAGCCAGGAAGGCTTCCTGGAGGAAGGGGTGTCTGATAAAAAGCATGGAGATGGCCGTATGTGAGGCAGATGCTGCGGAGGAGGAAGGGCCCAGAGGGCAGATCCATCAGCCTGTCCAGCCTTTCCCAGCCAGAGCCAGCTCCATCCAGGAGCGGCCCTGCAGACACAGATGTGGATGACCAGAAGTCTCCTGCTGTCATGAGATTCAGAAACTGCCCTAAGCCCTGTCTGCCTTCAAATAGCACCTCTGTTCTCCTGTCACCCCTGGCTGGACCAGGAGCCAGGAGAGCTGACTGTGTACAAGGGGCGGCCTCTCTGGATCTCAGTTTCCCTGCCTGGTGACGGAGCTGGATCTGCGTGGTTTTATTATAAGCTCCTCCAGCTTTGACTCCAGGCTTCAAAGGCCAGAGCCTCTCAACCCCACCCCTGAAAAAGATACCTGCTTTGGGTCAGACGGTAAAGTGAGGGCTGCTGGGAAGGGAGGACTCTGGATTTGTTTGCTGTCAGGGTTCTGAAAGCCTGTGTGTCACCTATTAATGACTATGACAATGTTAACGCTGAGAGCAGCAGCTAATATTTACCCAGTACTTACCATGACCCAGTCCTCATTCTAGAAATCTTAGATTTCATCTTCACGGTCACCCCATGAGGTAGGTAGATGGACATCTCAGCAAACACACATTCAAGGTACACTGTGCACTTAGAACCCGATGTCCTTGATGACCCTAGCTAAGGTCATAGGTCACACCCCTAGCAAGCACCAGGGCCAGGATCTGAATCCAGCAGTGTGAATTCAGAGCCCCAGCAACTCACCTACACTGTCCCCACCCGTACCCTCGACGGGCAGCAGCAGGACCTGCCGACATCTCCCTAACTGGCCCACCAGCCCCTTAAGAGCGGGGTCCGCTCCTGCTGGTTCCAAAGGCCAGCTCTGCCCACAGTACCAGAGTGACTGTTTCCTGCCTCCATTGCAGATGGGGGTGAAAAGAGCCCAGAGGGTAAGGGCCCCCGCTGCACTGGCTGCTCCCAGCTGCTTGTTCCCAACCTGCTCCTGTCACACAAGGACAGCCACTTGCAGGAGGGACAGAGAACAGAGCCAGGTGGCCTACAGATATGCAATGGGACAGGTGGGGAGCTTGGAGCTTGTACCATGGGTAGTAGGAGCAGATGCTGTCCAGAGGCCACACCCTTCTGCCAAGTGCCCAGGGCAAACACCTGTGACGTTTGCACCTGCCTCTCCTGTATGCCCGTGATTGGCTGGAGCTGTCAATCAAGGAGTTTGCTGCCTCCTCTGCCAAAAATAACCCAGGCTGCCCAGTCAGAGTCTTTCTTTGGTATTTGATATACACTGGGGGAAAAGATAATTTCTCTTTCTCTTTTAAGCTGTAAGGGCCTAAAAAGTCTGGAACTGCTGGGGACGGTTTTGCTACCCTGTAGAAAGAGATGGCCTAAAGATGAGACCACATGGAGGTGGTCAGAGACTGAGATATTGTTTGAACTCCTGGGCCTGGCTCTGCCTGAAGCCCATCTCTTAGACGTTTCAGTTATATGAGCCCCAGGTCTCTGCCCACACCCCCTAAACTGCTGTAGCGTAAACAAAGAAGTCGCCTCTCCCACCCGGTCAGGTGGCCTCCTAAGCAGCCCCTCGAAGCTGGGGCTGGGCCAGGCTGGCGGGACTCACCTTGCCGGTCCGCAGGGTGCGGGGGGTGTGAGTGGTAGAGGGTCTGCTGACTCTGCCGGATGGCTGCGGTCAGCGGGAGGTCCGCCTGCACCACCCACTCCTGGTTGCCGTTGAGCACCGTCTCGCCCGGCATGGCAAGTGAATGCCGCTTGGGGACGTCCTTAGTCAGCGTCGCTAAGGACTGCTTGGCCTGGAGGGAGAGTCAGGAGACAGGAAGACGTGATCGAGGGGCCCTCTTGGGTTGCTGCTTGGCATCACCCCCCACCACGGTGAGAAAGCCCCAAGTCCCATTTTATGTTTTCATTTTATCTGTACCAGGGTGTGACCAGGGCTGTGTTGCCTGTCAATCATAAGTCAAGCACCTGCCCTGTGGCTCTCACCTGAGAGCTCACTTTGGGGTTACCCCTTAGTTCCTTCCAAGAGAACGGTGAGACCAGCAATACAGACAGGAAGGGGCTCCAGGAACACGTTCATCACCCATACTTTTGGGTTCTCCAAGGATTAGCTGGCATTCGAATGTGATTGTAAAAAATGGTGTCCTGGTTTCCATTACCTTAACTCCTCCTCAGTTCGACCTGCGATCTCCCCTTCACAAGGTTCTACCCGAGAAAAACCATGTGTACCTCCTGCAGAACCAACACGGAGATGGGCCGTTCCATACTTAGCCCGCGTGACCCGTTCCTCCTTGAACGCAGGCTGGGAGCAGGGCGGATCTCGACCTAGCTCTTGGGGGGTCCCACAACGAGACTGCCTGGACACGAGGAAGCCCGGGGACAAGTGTGGGGCTGAGTTAGGGCAGGGAAGCCACCTCTGGATGGCCACACAGGTCCTACTCTCTGTCTGGCATCTGAGATCTCTTTTTGCTGTGTGTTATCTCCCCCCAGGGTATATGGGGCTTTATTAGAAGAATCTCAAATTCTTTGGGGAGAAAAAAGGCATGTGTTAGAAAGGTATTAATGCATATTCTTTTCATCACAATTCCTTCTTCCCGACTGGCTCCCCAGACTCCTGCCAGGGCAGAGGGGGCTGAGGAGGGAAGAGACAGGGAGGGGCCCAGGGGTCTCTGCATTGAGGTCTCTGGTGAACACTGACAAACCAGGAGGCCGTTACAGATGGCAGAGCCCCTGTGAGTGCTGACTTTGCCCCTTATATGGTACAGATAAAATGAAAAACCCATCTCATGTCTCCTAGCTCCAGAACTTTCCATACCTTGTCCCAGGCCCTGAGTTTCTCCTGGCAGAGAAGGGGTTCTTGAGAAAGAGTCCCTCTGAGAAACGGACTGTCCTTAACCTAAAGCCTGATGCACCCTCATCACATGGACCGGCTCTGCTATTTTAGACAGGTCATTGTCTCCTCTGAGCCTTAGTTTCCCCATCTGTACAATGAAATGCCTTGACCAATCGATCTTTAGGGCTCTCTCCAGCTCAGACACCCTAGGACTCTGTGAAATCACTCCCCTTCCACTTCCAGCCCCTGGGGAACATAAATCCATACAGCAGAGGGAGGCCGAGGTGAGGGTGTCAGCCCTGCCCTGCCAAAGCGGTAATAATCTCCCCCCAGCTTAGAAAACCCTTTTTGCGATGCCATCCATCCTCACATGTTCAGTGCAACAGCCCTGGGTTGCCAGTAGGGAGCATGGCAAGACCTGTGCTTGACAGACAAGAAACCAGAAGCTCAGAGAGGTTTAGTTCCTTCTCCAAGAGGGCACAGCTGGCACGACATACAAGTTGGGCCCCAAACCTCAGTGACTGACTGTGAGCCCAGTGTGGTTTCCACTAAACCCACGCTCTTCCAGGGCAAGGAAACGACCAGCACAAGTGAAGCAGACTCTGAGTCGGAGAGAACGGGGGTAGTCCGCTCCCCACGCAACCCCCAGCATCTGGCTTGGGGCGGGGCACATCCAGTAAGTGCTCAATAAACATCTGCAGGACGAATGCAAGCAGGCCTCTGCTTAACACAGCCTTTGCCATGTCCAGGCTGGTGGCTCAGGGGATCAGCTCTGCCGATCTACTATAAGAACAGTGGAGTAGTGATCCCTCTGTTTAAGGAAGAAGCTAGGCTAGGTGTGTCTCAGAGCTGCCATATGCCCTACGGGTTAAATGTGTCCCCCCAAGGCTCATGCACTAGAAACTTACTCTCCATGTAAGTATATTAAGAGAGTGGGAAATCCAATGAAGGTATTTGAAAGGTGAGGCCTTTGACAGGTGATTAGATTGTGAGGACTGTGCCCTCCATCAGTGGTTTAATGGGTGGTCATGGGCATGGTTCTGATGGCTTTATAAGGAGAGCGAGTGACAAGATTAGCTCTCTCTTGCTCAGCCCATTCGCCGTGTGACACCCTGTGTCTCTATGGAGAGTCACCACCAAGAAAAAGGCCCTCATCAGATTCGCCCCTGGACTGTGGACTTCCCAGCCTCTAAAACTGTAAGAAATAAGTTTCATTTCTTTATTCATTACCCAGTTTCAGGTATTCTGTTATAAGCAACAGAAACGGACTACTACGATATGCTTGCAGCAGGCCCAGCATCATGGAGACTTGTCTTTCCTGAACCACCACACCTCACTCAGGTGAGTCAGGGAGGCTCACTCCAGTGGGCGGAGTCTGCTTTTCCTCCAGGTGTCCGTGCATCCAGACCCCCCGCCCTCCCTGGCTTCCTCCTGCCAAACCCATCTCGGCCGTGCGGAAGGTGGGCTTCACGGGAGACATGAGCACCCAGGTGGACCTGCTGTCACGTGGCAATCAAGCCGCAGCCCTCTCCCCTCTTGCAAGCATTCCCAGCTACACACACAGAAAGCACAGGAACGTCCAAGCCGGCCCCTGAAGACAGCAGCCCTCTGAGGCAGCACAGGAAGATGTGAGGAAGAGGCCTGGGCAGGATTGCTCTGCTGTCCCCACCTGGCTTTCTTCTCCCAGTGAGGCCTCACCTGTCTGGACCTGGGAGTGGAGCCGTCTATCTTGGTAGGTAGCATGACACTGTCACTGACTGATCACTGGATGGGGTGGTTGTACCTGTGAGCTTGGAGTCACAGGAAAGTCTCATAAACTGTCCATTCTACTCATTCAGGATTTTAAACTCCTGAGACAGAGTTACAATGGAGAGGGGAGCTGCAGACGAGGCCGGTAAAAGTCTGATTTGAAGCACACATGCACACACTTTGGTGCTGCACTGGGTCATCTCCCCATGGCAATTCACACAGCACTTCTTGCTAATCCCTTGCAGTAAATGCGATTTGATGCTGGGAGCTCCCCTTGAGCTCTGACACTCTCTTCTCACCTCTGAGCCTCGACCCTCACCTAAGCACTCTGAGCCTCCGCTGCTGAGCTCCTGGGAATTGATAACTGATGCAAACACGCTCATGTGACAAGTCAGACAGAACTGGGTTCAAACTCCGTACTTGTACTACTTAACCTGCTGTGTGACTTTAATCAAGTTGCTCCACCACTCTGAGCTTCAGAGTCCTCACTGATAAGATGGGAAACCAAGAGGGATCATTTCTACATAAGTAGCGCCCCATGGGGTTGTGTGACGAGGCGGCCCAGGTCTTAGCACCGTGCTTCAGAGTCTGGGCTCTGAAATTGGACTGCTAGGATCTGATCTCAGCTTTGTTTTTTCCTGGCTGTGGGATCCTAAGAGGCTCCTCAATTCTCTAGACCCCCAGCTGTCTCACAGGGATGACAGAAGACCTCCCTCATGTGCTTGCTATGGCCCATGGTAAAGATACTCAGTAAATATTAGCAAGTTACGATTAAACAATTTCTGCGTCACAAGTAGGGATTAAATGGGGAATAATTCACATGACGGTCAAGGACACCTTCTGGCCCACTGGCATGTTCAGCAAGTGGCAGCCATGGTGGTTAGGTTAGGATTATTTGTGCCCTCCCCAAGACTGGGCAGTAAGCCCTGTGTATTAGTCCATTTTTGTGCTGCTATTTTGTTAAATACCTAAAACTGGGTATTTTATATGGGCAACTGGTGTCACTATATTTTGTGCTATTTTGTTAAATATCTAAAACTGGGTAATTTATATGGGCAACTGGTGTCACTATACAGATACCTGAAAATGTGGAAGCAGCTTTGGAACTGCGTAATGGGCAAAGGTTGGAGGAGTTTGGAGGATTCAGAAGATGACAAAAAGATGAAGGAACGTTTGGAACATTTTAGAGGTTGGTTAAATGGTTGTGACCAGAATGCTGATAGAAATGTGGACAGTAAAGGTCATGCTGATGACGAGGTCTCAGATAGAAATGAGGAACTTACTGGAAATTGGACAAAAGATCACCCTTGCTACACCATAGCAAGGAACTTGGCTGCATCGTGTCCATGCCCTAGGACTTTGTGGAAGGTGGGACTTAAGAGTTGTGAACCAGAATGTTTGGTGGAAGAAATTTCTAAGCAGCAAAGGCATGACGTAAAGCCAGAATTTATAATTAAAAGGAAAGCAGAGCATAAAGATTTGGGAAGTATGCAGCCTAGCCATGTGGTAGAGAAGCAAACAGCAGGAGAAAAATCCAACGGTGCAGCAGAAGGACTAGTTGCTGAAGACATTAGCATGGCTATGAGGCAGCTGGATGCTAATAGCCAAGACACCCCGTGAGGTGGGAAGGAGAGAGAACAGAACAGGGCCCTGTCCCACCTGCCCTCCGGCTTGGGCTGATGGCAGCTCCGACCCATCCGGAGGGTTTGCTGGTCTGGAAGCCATACGATTACATCTCCCCTGTCAGAGAGTGAGCTGGCCTCGCGGGCAGGCTGAGTGAACTAAGCAGAATCTTCCCCTCAGGTTTTCAAGGGATGCGTGCTCATCTAGGGAACCTCTCTCCAGGCCAAAGGCCAGGAACCTTCAGAGCAAATTCCAGAAGCTTCATGCTCCTGTTGACTCCAGCACACAGGTGGTACACTGCACCAAATGGGCATCACACGGCCACAAGTTGACTCAACTACCTTCTTCCTGTGCTTCATAAACAAACTGCGGTCAACAGCCTCATTGAGGGGAAGTCAGCCGGGACCTCGGGGCTGCTGGGGGAGCAGGTCCATCCTCTGCTCATCTGTCCCTCACTGTTCCTGACTCTCACCTAGATAGACCTGAGGTGGCTGTTGTTTTCACAGACAAAGAAACTGAGGCTCAGAAAGGTTAAGAGTGACTTGCTCAAGGTCACCCAGTGACATTAGGATCCATGTCTCTTTGCACCTGGTGGGGTCTGAGGACAGGATGGGTCCAGGTCTAGAACAGCCTCAGTAAATAACAGCTAGTGTTTACTGAGCATCTACAGCGTGCCTGCCCTGATCATTTCTCCTTACAATCACCCTGGGAGGAAGGTTATAGTTCTGATTCTATATAGGAGGAAACGGGCTTGAAAGATTAAGTCCCTTGTCAAAGGTCACACAGCTAAAGAATGACAGGACCCAAACTGGGACTCTTTTAAAACTAAATGGCCAAGGCACAGACAGGATGCTTGATTCTTGGAAAATATCCTACTTTACAGAGGAGTGGTTCTCAACCTGGGATTTTGCACCCCGGGGAACATCTGGCAATGTCTGCAGACTTTATTGGTTGTCACACTGGGGGCGCTGCTGGCATCTGGTGGGTAGAGGCCAAAGATGCTGCTAAACGTCCTGCAGTGCACGAGACAGTCCCCACAGCAAAGAGTTATCTGGATCCAGATGTCAACAGTGCTGAGGGTGAGAAGCCCCATTTGCAGAGTTCATAGTAACTTGAGGACTGTTTCCTGTTTTGGAGAAGCAGTGCTGACTCCAGCTCCTGGGGGACAGGACCAGTGTTTGGGGGATGCTTGTTATCATGGGGGCTGGCAGTCCTGTCTCCTAGCCAGCCCCTCCCCGCCACCGCCTTGACTGGAGAGGCCAGGGGGGAAGGCCTGAGGGATGAGTCGAGGCTGGTGAGGGAGGTGCCCCTTCAGGCCAGCGGTGGGATGTCCTTTCGGAGGCCCCCTGAGCAAAGCCATCACACCGTGGAGCACTGGGACCGCCCGCTCTCTAGCTCTGCCTCTTAACTCCCTGGGCAGCTCTGGGTGAGTCCCCTGCCTTCTGAGCCTGTTCTACATCTGTAAAAGGTAACAATAAGAATATGTACCTCACTGGGGTGAATGCTAACAGATATGGGTTTCTTTTTGGGGTGATGAAATTGTTCTGGAATTTGGTAGTGGTGACAGCTGTCCAACTTTGTCAATGCACTAAAAACCACTGAATGGTACAGCTTAAAAGGGTGAATTTATGGTATGTGCATTATACCTTAATAACAATATTTAAAGATTTGTATGAGTAGATACATGCGTGCACCCTAAGGGGCGGTCCTAGGAGCTCATGTGGTTATGAAGGTGAAATTGCTCCGTGAGTGTTATCATCGGCTTGGGCCAGGAATTATCATCAGGAAATGTCCCTTCACCAAGGGTGGATGGTGGGGTGGGTCCTCAGGGTGCCCACCAACATCCCCAAACACCAGGAGAGGGCTTTGCTTCTTGGGAAACGTCTGTGGAAGCAAACATCTTTGGCTTTTCCTGAAGCAGGGCCTTTTTGGCTGCATGGGCTGGTGTGGAGGCCCGAGCCTGGCTCCTCCCAGGAGGCCCAATGTGGGCAGGGCCTGCTCACCCTCCCACGGCACCAGGCTGGGCCCTCTCCCCACGCCTGCTTCCCCAGTGGCCTCAGTCTCATGGGCAGGTGTGACTTCTGCCAGCTCAGCACCACCTCTGTGGCAACACCTTGGGGTCACTTAAGAAATTACCCCCCCCAGTTGCCACAGCCAGGACCTCCAGGTAAGGGTAAGCAAGTGACCCAAGATGGGCTGTTTGGGACCCTGTACTGGGCCAGACTTTTTTTTTCTTTTAATTGAGGTGAAATTCAATCAGAGGACAAAGGGTTCAAGTTCGTCCCCCCAGCAGGGGCTGCTGAGCAACCATTCCCGCCTGGAGTCCTGGCTCCCCACCTCCGCAGCTGCCTTGGCCTCTGTCCTTCTCTGAGCCTGGCCCTCCACCTTGCCATGGCCCCTGCGGATGCTGCCGTCCTCCCAGCACAGGCCCTGTGCTCCAGCTAGCCAGCGCTGCTTTCTGTCGCTTGCATTCCTGGGATACCAGACACGCCGGGAGGAAGGCGCTTGCCTCCGTCTTGTCCTGGTTAGCAATGCAGTGGGGGAGCCGGCCTGCCAACAACACACCCGGAGCAGGCAGCCCTGGGTGTGAAATTCTGCAGATGGCCAGACAACGATGGGGACCTGCAGGCAGGTGGACACCCCAACAATTCTGGGGCCATCATGCTCTAAGTAAAGCCCCTTCCCTCCTCTTAGCTCTGTGTAGACACTGCTGTGCTGGTGTTAGAACAGATCCATCACCCTGAACTACCAACATTTACCCTGAAATTGCTCTTAGCAGAGAGGCCTGATGCCTGCCAGAAAAGGAGGAGGCAAGAACTGAGTTTTGTTGGCCAGAACCAAAGCAGGTGGGATGTCTGGCTATGGTGGGAGTAGAAGCCAAGGTGAGCTGCTCCCGATCTGGAAGGACCCAGGGAGAACCCAGGATGCCTAAGGCCAGTGCTGCAAGACAAGGAAGACACATCTGTCCATCCACAGGGCACTGGGAAGACCTGGGAGAACAGGGGCCTTACCCTGCACCCTTCTCCTGGTCTGCAACTTGAAAGGTTTCTGTCTGGGTGGCAGTTGGCAGCAGTGCCACCGACCCCACTGGTGGGAAGGCCACCCGAGAGGGATCCTGCAGCTGCAGCTCTTTCCTGTCTGGGCAGCTCTCACCACTAGGGGTCAGCACTGGACAAAGAGACCCAGCAGAGGCCCACGGGGCCTGCCCTGCCCTGGGTGGCCTGGTCCTGAAGCAAAGAAAACCATCATGTCATTGTGTCACCAATTACCACGTCCAGATGCTGTGCTAAGCACTTCCTTTGCATTATTTCACTGAAATCTCACAAGAGGAAACCCCACGGGGCATGTGCAATGATCCCTATTTAGAGATGATGGAACAGAGGCCCAGAGAGGTGAAGGGTCCTGCTCAAAGTCACACAGCTAGGAAGCGAAGGGGGCTGGGTCTGAGCCCAGAGCCCACAGCTATAACCACACTGTTGGCTGGCATCAAAGCTTGGCAGTACGACGAATCCTCTAAGAGCCATGTGGGTACCCACTCCTCAGGAGTTGCCTGTACCGTCTTCTCCCAACCACGGTCACGGGGAGCTCCTGCTGGCTTTCAAAGGCCCTTCCAGCCACGAGCTCTCTGGAGCTACCCAACCACTTTGTGGGGAAGGCAGAGTAGGACTAAGACCCTCACCCCACTCCATAACAGATAAAGGGCACTGGAGCCCAGAGAGGTTGAGTGAGCGGCGCAAGGTCACACAGGAGCAGGCAGAACAAAGCTTCAGGGCTTGGACCTGGCTCTTCTGGCAGACCCTGGGCTGTGTCCCCATGCACGTGGGCTGTGTACCTTCACAGAAAACAAAATGTTTGGGAGGGTTTGTTTTGGATTAGAAAAAGAAAATATTTTTTTCCTTTGATGACCCAAGTAAAAATGTCTTTCTATTTTTGCTGTAGATACACTTGAAAATAGGTTAAAAAAAAAGTCACTTGTAATCCTATCACCCTGAGATAACTAATGTTAATATTTTGGTGTATTTCCTCCCAAACAGTTTCCTAAACAATTATGTCCTTTTAAACAAAAATATTTTTTTTCCTTTTTTAAGAGAAGCCTGGCGAGTGTGGAAGAGTGAGTGGTCCTCACATTCCCTGGGCCCAAGGCAGGTGGAGAAAAGGCTGTCCCAGGCTCTGGGGGTTGGCAGGTCTGTATGGTCTTGCGAGGGAAGCTTACGGAGCATCCAGTCCCCTGTCCCCTGTGCATGTCCTGCTCTGCCCCCTCCCCCCACGCAGGGGCTCCTGGGTGGACCGAGGCTAGCCTGCCCTGGCTCCCAACACGTCACTTCTAGCAGACTCCAGGACCTGCCCTGGCTGAGGAGGGTCCTCACCATGGCCAGCTCGGCCTCCAGCTCCTTCATCCGGTTGTCCTTGAGGTCCAGCTGGGAGCGCAGCGCCGCGGCGTGGTCCGTGGCCTCCTTGGCTTGGCGCCGCAGTTCCCATTTCTCGCGCTCCAGGAGGTCCTTCTCCTTGGCCAGGGCTTTGACCGCGTCCTCGCTCTCCTGTGGGTGGGAGAGAGGACCACAGGTGTCACAAATGAGGAGCAGGGGCCACCTCTTGGCTCGGGGACACATGGAGGGAGCTTGACCCCTGGATGAAGAGGACAGGCCTTCCCTGACTACCCCTGTAAGAGAGCAGCCCAGATCCTCTCTAACCCTTTTTTTTGTATCTGGACCTGATATTGTCATTCAATCAATGTTCATGGATGCCATCAGCAGGCACAAACCAGACAAGAATCCCTTCACTCGGGAAGCTTACCCTGAAAAACTCTGCTACAGGGTGGAGCTAAACAACTGGGGTAAGAACTGTCACTGAGAACTGGCTGGCGCACAAGGGGCTGCTTATAAAATGTCTCTCTGAATTAGGAGAAAGACCCACTAGGACCCTCAGGATTGTTTTCATTTCTGTCTCTTTGCAGTCACTGGTCCCACTGGCCATGCAAAGACGGAGGCTCTAGCCTGGGCAAGAAGGCCCTATAGGTGCTTTCAAGACGTGGACTCCCACCTGCCCATGATAATATTCCCTAGCAGGAGAGCAGGGCTCAGCAGCAACTGTTGTGGAATGTTCTGTACAGTGCTAAGGGTTGCAGGTGCATTATTATATTTAAACCTCACAACCACCGTGAGGCAGAGACTATGATTATCCCTGTTTCACAGATGAGTAAACTGAGTCTCAAAGAGGTAAAATAACTTCCCCAGCCCCACAGATAGTGTGGGCAAGGTCTCAATCCCTGCTGTTAACTGAGGCAGAAAAGGAACCAAAAGGAGACATTTAGAACTTGATGCGGGTTAAGCGTGGCTGGAATATATGAGGATAGGGTTTGGCCAGGCTCTGTAAGGCCTTGGATGATGGGCCAGGGAGCCGAGGTCACATGGACAGGAGAAGGGAGTGGAATGGGGAAGGCAGGGTGCAGCAGTGAGGACAGGGCTGCAAGGGGACAAAGGTCTGGCTGGGGAGGCAATAGCAGTGGGGAGAAGGTGACCTGTTTCAAATGTGGCCTCATCACGCAAGATCACGCTGTGTCCAGCCCCTGGCCTGGCCGCCTGACCTGCTGTGAGAACTTCCTCAGCTGCATTTATGGAGAGTCCCCAAGTCCCCCTCCCAGCTGCACTCATGTGACGGGGCATGTGCATTTGGCACAGCCTTCTGGGATGTTGCAATCTGTGAACGTTCCGGGCAGGCCAAGACTCCCTCGTTTCTCAGCAGCTTGTGTTGTACCCATGTTGTCCCCTTTCTTCCCAGGAGCTCAGAGTCTGGGGTCCTGCGACCTGTTCCAGCTGAGGACTGCAGGGGTCCCCAGGAGGAGTTGAGTGGGCCGTGGCAGGCTGAATGACCAGAGCTAAGTGGCTGGGGAACCTGATAGTTTCATTAATCCTCTTCATGGGGACATGTGTCTTGCACAGAAAATGCAAATCATTTTTCGGTAACCAGTTGCAAGATCTTGCTTCTCCAAACTGGCCTTGGGCCAGTCACTTGACCCTTGAGAGCCTCAGTCCTCCCATCTGTAAAATGGGATTGACCCAACAATGACTAAAGATCACTATACTGTTGCTATTCCACTGATATGCTGGGACTACAGGAGTGACTCTTTCCACTTAACAACGAGGTTTAAGATAGCAGTTTTTAAAAAATAAATTTTTCCCAAATTTCATTTTTCTGAATGAACCTGAAGGGTATTGTGAACTCAACCAATAAAAGTGACAGAGCTGGGGCCATCTGCTCTGCCCATGGCTGCCACAGCTCCCAGGTGTCTGCTTGCTCAGCAGCTTCACCCCAACCCCGCAGCTGGCTGGACATGGGGATGCCCCGCAGCTGGCTGGACATGGGGATGCCCACCTATGACTTAAAAAAAGCGACATGGAGCTCTCCATGGGAATTTTATTGCCAAAGAAGAGCAAAATTATAAAAAACAAATTTGATATCCCATGAAAAGACATGGAGGAGCATTTGCTGGTAAACCCCAGGTTGGCCACGGTGCCACTAAAGGAGCCAGCATGCCATCTACGCTCATGGGGACAGCCGTGACCTCTTCTCTGCAGTCCGCCTCCGGGTGTCCAGAGGACACAGCCGCAGGAAGAACCCCTCTGTCCACGTGAGCGCTTCCTGAGCAGCTGGGGAGGCTGCTCGGGCAACAGTCCTGACTGGGCTCTGGAGCTGCACCTCCTGCCTCCACCTTTTCATCATGGGTGACCCTGGGCCGGCGACTCTACCTCAGTCTCAGTTTTTGCCTCTGTAAAATGGGGGTAACGGGGACAATCATACCTCATAGGGTCGCTATTATATTAGCACATGTGGAGAGAGAAGGGCAATGCCTGCACACAGCAGATGCACAACCAATGTTTGTTGTTAATACATGTTTATGCCAGCTCCTGCTAAGGTGGCTTCTGCAGATGGCCATTACCATAATCATGATCAGGATGGCTACCCGGTAACGGTGCCATCTTCCTAACGCTCGTGGACTTTCACCAGCACCACGGTCCCTCTGCTTTTCTAACTCCTGATCTGTCCTTCAAGGTGCATGTTTCTCAGGCAGCTCCTTCCTCTGGCTTCTGGTTCCTGGGTCCTCTGAGACCCTCTGTCCCTCCCAGAAGGTCTTGTCTGGGTTACTTTCTGCAAAGTTCTTGTCTCTCTGCCATCTTCCCAGAGGTGGAGCCCTCGCCTGGGACCTGTGTAGGGGCAGCCACAGATGGTGCTTCGTTTCCTTCTCTGGGTTTGCCAGTGAGACAAATGCCAGGCAGTGGCAGATGAGGGGCTGTGAAATCCACTGTGGAATTTTCATGATCAAATGACTGACCGTGAATCCCCAAAGGCAATAATGCTAATGATGATGAAGATGATAGCAAGCGTTTTCCCCAGCTTGCGTTCTGTGTCCCAGAAACCTCAGGGCTAACAATGCTGGGCTTGGAGTAGTGGCTGTCATTACCCTGGTTTACAAATGAGAAGTCTGAGACCACGGAGAGCCAGCGTTTGCACGAGGCCACACAGCCAGAGACTCTAACCCGGCTGTCTGCTCTTAACCACTGCATGACCCTGGTCTCAGGCCTAGGAAGCCAATGACCTGGGAGACAAATGGTGTACAAAGTCAGCCTGGGGCCTGTCTCTGCCCCGGGGCCACTATGTCACTGAAGGCTGTGGGCTGGTGCTCTGGCCCCGTGTCCCTGCTTCCCCTGCTGAAGAAAGACCTGGCTCCCTTGGGTCCTGCTATGGCTCCTCTGGCTGGGGAAGGAGAAAGGAGAGAGGTGGACAGAGATGGGGAGGCAGGGACCAGGGGCTGCAATACAATGCTGTGCTGGGAACCAAGGGGAGAAGATGGGGGGATGGGGGGAGGGGTGCACAGCACAGCGGGCACAAGTGTGGGCTCTGGACCCAGGCCGTGCCTGCACTGCATGACCGTGGATGAGTGAGCTCACCTCTCCGCCTGTCAGCTCATCTGTGAAATGGGGGTTTGATCGTAACCCCGCATAGTGTCGGTGTGAGTGTTACATGAATGAACACACAGGAAGGAGGCTCTGAGAACTTGGCCTGTGAGCACTTAAAAAACACACTATAACTGACATAGGGTGCATGTGAGCACACGCATGCACAGCCCGGTGCACACGCAGGTGTATCTGGGTCATCAGACAGAGGAGGGGAGCAGGGTCCCCCATGCCTTCTTGTCCATGTGGTGCTCCCTGAGCTCCTGCCCCCTGGTTCCCTGCTGGTGGCCAAGGGCAATGCCAGTGAAGGGACACTCCCCCTAAGGCGCAGATGCAGGCCCACGAGCGCATTCCCACATTAGAGCCCAGGAAAGCAGACTCTGTACTCCTGTTCCTCTCTCCACGGGTCGTCCACTCACTGCCATGCTGTGTCTGCCAGTGATAGCCACAGAAGGCCGACGCCAAAGGGACCCAGCTCATCTAGCTGGAAGGACGCAGGCAGCAGCGACTGGCAAGACAGAGTGGGTGGAACAGGGACTGAGGGCAGCTGGAAGCCCCAGACTACCATTGAGGACTGTGTGTGACCCAGAGCTCTCCTGGGGCTGCCGCTTTAGTCATGCAGAGGAAGTGACAGTGAGCATCCTGGGGAAGACCATAGTGGATGTAGGGACAAACAGTCTAAGTTCAAATTCAGTCTCAGACACTCTGGCCTCCAATTCTGGCTCAGAGGCACCATCTTTGACTGGGCTTGTTCCACTGCTGCTGCCACTGATTGTTCAGAGGATGCTTGAAGCTTCCACCGCAGAAGCAGCCGCAAGCTGAATGCACTCCCGCCTCCGCGTGCTGCCCTGTGTACATACCTTGGTCACAGCCCTTGTCACATGGTGTCATGTACTTGGACAGCGGCTTTCCATTGTCTTTCTGCCCTGCACACTGTAAGGTCACAGTTCTTGGCAGACACAGTGTCTTCACTAAGGCCTGCTTGGTTGAGGGACCGACCCTTTTTTCTTTAAGTCTCAGTGTCCTCTTTGGCACATCCACATCACAGACACCAGACAGTATCTGCTGAGCCAAATTCCTCAGTTATCTGACCCATAAACTCCTACTCATCCCACAGAGCCCTACTCATGTCACTTCCTCTGTGAAGACTCCCAGAATTTCCCGCTGTCTCTCCAGTGCTCCCCAGCTCTCTCTCGCTTTTACTGCGGTGTTACTAATAAGATGCCCAGCCAACATTCACCGAGTGCTCATTATGCGTCAGGCCAAGTGTTCAGTGTTTATCATCTCATGGAATCCTCACTGCAGATCTGCAAGGTCTGTACCACCATCACCCTTTTGCAGATGAGGATGGGGAGCTGGGATCTCGACCAGCAGGACTCCCAAGTCCGCATGGCCATGACTGCACTATCCTGTCCAGGCCTGTTTGCCCAGGAGACGCAGAGCCTCCAGCCAGGGGCTGTGCCAGTTTCACCTTGGTGCCCAGGCCCAGCTGGGCACTCTGGAGGCCTCCTCATCTCTGCTCTGGGATTCGAGAGGCAGAGCCTGTGCTGGGCTGAGAAGGTGGCCGGCAAGCAGGGGAGATGAGGAAGCTGGTGCGTCTGCAGAACGGAGGAGAGGGGAGAAGAGGGGGGCGGCTACTGACCTTGCGGTGCTGCTCGTAGTTGCGGATGAAGTCGCGGAGCTGCTCCTCGCGGCTCTCCAGCGTCGCGTACAGCTGCTGCATCTGGCTCACCAGGTCTGTCTTCTCACCCTTTAAGCGCTTTCGATCGGCTTTCATGGCTGGGGGACAGAAGAATGAGTTAGTTCCGAGACCCTGGCTGTCTCCTCCATCTGCCCGGAATGCTGAGAAGAGGCATCATTGCTGTCCCTTCTTAGCAGAGGAGAAAATAGGTTCAGAAAGATGAAGTGTTTCTCCCAAGCTCCTATGTCACTTCGTGGCATTCCTGGGATTCGAACCCAGGCCCACCTATGTCTACAGTCCCTATTCTCACCTCTCAGATTTATGGATCCAACCAGGGAGCAAGTCCTTGTTTAAACGTCTCTCCTAGCCCTCAGCTGGCTGGGTCCCCAATGTTGAAGGGCTGAGGCTGGTGAGCTCCTGACCCCTTGCTGAAATGTACCCCAGGGCCACTCTGAGCCCAGCCTGCTAGTCCTCATCCACCCCATTTACTCCACAGGAGAAGCATTTGATTAAAAGAATGCAGCAGGATACAACCCCAAAAGTATGGGCAACAGAAGAAAAAACGGATAAAGTGAACTTCATCAAAATTGGAAACTTTTGTGCTTCAAAGGACACCATCAAGAAAGTGAAAAGACAACCCACGGAATGGGAGAAAATATTTGCAAATCCTGTATCTGATGAGGGACTTATATCTACAAGTATAAATTACTCTTACAACTCAATAATAAAAACTCAAAGAACCCAGGTAAAAAATGGACAAAGGATCTGAATAGACATTTCTCCAAGAAATGGCCAAGCAGCACAGGGAAGGTGCTCGATCATTAGCCACCAGGGAGATGCAAATTGAAACCACAGTGAGATGCCACTTCATGCTCACTGGAATGGCTAAAGTAGGAAAGACAGACGATCGCAAGTGTTGACAAGGATGTGGAGAAACTGAAACCCTCTCCCCCTGCTGGTGGGAATGTACGATGGTCCAGCTGCTTTGCAAAACAGTCTGGCAGTTCCTCAAAAGATGGGACATAAAGTCATCCTATGACCCAGCAATTCTACTCCTAGGCCAAGGAATGAAAATATATGTCCACACAAGCACTGTCTATAAATATTTAGAGCACCATGATTCATAATAGCCAGAAATATAGAAACAACCCAGATGTCTATCAGTGGATGAATGAATAAACAAAATGAGATACATCCATACAATGGAATGTTATTTAATAATAAAAAGAAGTACTGGCACCTGCTGCGACATAGGTGAACCTGGAAAACATTATGCTGAGTGAAGGAAGGCTTCGCATTATAGAATTCCATTTTACATGAAATGTCCACAACAGGGAGATGCATAGAGACAGAAGGCAGATTAGCGGTTGCCTCGGGCTGGGGGTGAGGGCGGACAGGAGATGTAGGAAGGTAGGTGAAGGGCACGAGGTTTCTTAATGTCCTAACATTGGTGTGGTGAAGAACACACAACCCTGTGACTACACTAAAACCACTGAATGGTCCACTTTAAATGGGTGAGTTGTATGGGATATAAATTATATCTCAATAACGCTGTTAAAAAACACTCAGTGTCACACACCCTGAGCAGCCTCCTGTGAGGCAGCGTGACTTCTGCTCCCTCCAGACTCTCCTTGCCCCAGAACTGGCTCTCTGGTGAATGGAGCAGACTCAGGGCAGGCTCTGACTGCAGGGTAAGCTCCCTGCCTCCCCCCAGAGCCCCCAGAGTGCCGTCCTTTCCCTGGAGAGAGCATCAAGGAGGGGTGTCTGAGGCTAAGCACTTCCTGCAGGCTCCTTACGCCTGGGCTCTGGAAGCTTCCAGCCCGAAAAGGCCCAGAGTGGTTAAGTCATTTGCCTAAAGTCACACAGCCATGTCTGAACCCAAAGCCCATATACTTGACCCTACGTTATGCTGCCTCCACAGTGAAGTCCCCCAGACCCTTATGGCTGGCTGAGGGCAGTGATATGGGAGTGGCAGTGGCTGTGCCACCCCATCCTGTCCTGGACGTCCAATCCTGCAAACTCAGCCTGTGCATACGGAGGAGTTGGGGATGCCAGGCATGGCCTATGGACCAAGGACCCCGAGCTCCTGGCCCAGTGCCTAGCATGAGTTGATGTCCTTCTGGCCCTCCTGTGGGTCGGACAGGGAGGGGGGCAGATCAGCTGGGGCCATGTCATCTTGTGCAAAGAGCCACGGGGAAGAGACTCCTGCAGTGAAGACTGCAGGTCTTGGGCGGCTCTTTAAATTCCAGCTTTGAGCTTCCCGACCCCACAGCTGGACATGTCCTCTTCACGGCCAGCTTGGCTGAGCAGCAGCTTAGGTCACCAGGGCTGGAATTCCATGCCTGCTGGGCTGGAACCTTCAAGGGTGGGGACAGCAGAGCCCACAGAGAGGACTCTTCTGTTTCACTCCTGCCAGGCAAGGGGTGGGCCCCGCAGGCTCCAGGGGGTCGGGGGAGAAGGACATAGCTGAGTCAGTCATGTGCCCTGCCCCCTAACATAGTGTGGTCACATTACCAGTGAGCTTCACTTTAAGAAAACCTGACATCTAAAGGTATAACCCGGTCAGAAGGCATGTTACAGGAGAGCCCGGGCCCAGCTGTCACTGGAGATTGGAAATTTCCACCTGCACACTCTCACTGGATTCTGGTTGCACTCCTAAGAGGAGGTGGGTGGGTGGGTATTTTATCATCCCATCTTACAGAGGAGGAAACTAAGGCCACACAGCCAGTCAGTGGCAGAGCTGGGGCTGAACTCGTTCCTGACTCTTGGTCTCAGGCTGGCTTCAGACTGGTGGGCGTGAGAACAGCAGGGAAACACTGCTGAGCTTGAGAGGTGACCCAAGGGGGTCACCTCTTGGGGGGCTGCTGACCCAGGCAACCACTGTGGCTTCCTGGGGAGCTTTGGATGACAGGTCTTCCTGCCCCAATGGAGAGAAGCTGCCACGAAACAGGTCGCATGGACTCTCCTGGGGGTTTACCCTCTGCCCTTTGGCTGGCAAGGAGAGTAACGGCTCTGCCCTTTGGTTGGAAATTAACCAAAGGTGGTTAATAATCATGGTGGTGCAGGAGGCTATGCCTCTGCCATCTGACACAGGGCTCCCTGAGAGCAAGGGCTGGACCTGTACCTTCAGATTACTACCTTCTTGCTAAAAGGAGAGCCAGAGCACCCCCTCCCCAACTGCTGAATGAAGCACCTACTGAGTGCCAGGCTCCATGCTTGCTGATGTGAGAATAGGGACAGGCCCAACATAGTCCCTACCTTGGGGTGGCTGACAGTCTGATGGACAAGACAGACCCCCACTCATATGGTTGATACATCCATCCATCTACCCTCCTCCTTACCAAGATGGCTCCAATTTTGTTTGGGGGTGGGGGTGGGGAGCAATGTGTCCAGCTAAAACACTCAGCTTCCCAAGCTCCCTTGCAGCTAGAAGTGGCATTATCACAGTCCTGGCTTCTGCAATGTAAACTGACTTCCACTGAGAAACTCTCCGTTTTCTTTATAAGTCCTCTTGTGAGCACATGGATGGAAGATACAAGCTAAGAACAGGGAGTAGAAAGAAAAAAAGGGGCCAGGGTTCCTTGTAACAGGAGAAAGACAAATCTCAATGTTTGTGGGGTTTCCTGTTACGTGCAGCCCAATGCACTCTTCACTGATACATCGGGGCAGGCTGGGAGAAGTGCCAACCCCCACCTCAAAGCCTCCTCTCCCTAGTTCCTTCTTACTTGTGCTCCTTGAGGATCCTTGCTCTGCCCAGCTCAGGGCTGGACCTGGCCAGGCTAAGGACCGAGAAACCACAAAAGCTGGGTCTTTGGGAATGAATGCCAAATACAGATCAACTAAAAAGACGATGAGGCGCCTTTGGAACCCTTGTGAACACAAGAGGCCGACATCCAGTCTGTACACAGCTTTCAGAAGCACACACATCCACTGCCGAGAGCTCGGTGCCCTTGACCATCCGTTCTTGGGCATGGCCTATCGATTGGGACATGTGAAACCCACTCAAGGAAACACAGAGGGGCAGGTCCTAGAGCTGCTGGGACTCCTGCACCAGCTCGAGGTGGGAGAGCGGGTGTGTGCGCTCCCAGTGGAGCCTGAACTTTCCCAAGCACCCGCTGCATTGCCCCTATTGGAGGTGCTGGTATAACTCTAAGCAAAAGGAGGTCAACACAATAGACCCCCAGGAAGCAATTTAAAATCTATACTACGAAAACGACACAATCGAACCCTCTCTCTCTCACAGCTGTGCTTTTGTCCTGCCTTCCAAACCTCATTCTCTTGTTCCCCAAAGGCTCCTACTGCAAAACGAGCTGCCGGCCTCGAGGCCTGGCTGTGTCTCTCTGGGACATGCCTCCTGACTCAGCCTACAGTTCCCCAGTGCTCTGTTCACCTCCCAGTCACCCGCTGACCCCAGGCAGGTCCCATTCCAGCAGCCAGGCCACCAGAACCACTGCCATGGTGACAGGTGATCTGGCGGGCCCTGCAGAATCACAGAATTGAGGCCAGCCCGGCTCCTGGGAATGTGGGGACTCCGAGGGAGGGAAGGAGGGTGTGTGGGGAGGGGCTTAGTTTTCTGACTCAGAGGAGGCCAGATGCACGTGTGAGATGAAGGTGTGACCAGGGGCCCAGCTGTGGCCCTGCAATGATGGCACTTCTCTGGGACGCCACTGTTCTCAAGCTTCCGGGTGGCTTTCCCATGGCAGACCTCTTCCTCCTGCCCTGGCTTGGGATGCTCCAGTCCCTAACCCAGCTGTGGGGTGCAGTGGAGCAGTGTTGACCCCACATTTAACTCCTGCAAGTGCAACTCTTGGTGGGCGTGGACTAGAGAGAGAGAAAAGGGCTCCAAAGTTACTGCTTTGCTCCCCTGGAGCAAAGCAGATCCTCACCTCCAATGCCCAGGAGAACAGAGGCCACAGCCAGCATGCACATAGCAGGACAGTTCTTGGCTTCTGAGCTGCTGGGGGCTGTGGGCCTGGAAAGGAAGGGACTTCAAAGGGTGATGTTGAGCATGAAGGGTTTTCTCCTTACCTACTACATGCATGAGAGCCACCCCTGGGACTGAGGGAACCGCTCTCATCTTTCCCATCTCTGAGCCTCA